TACGGGGTTTTTTATCATCCCTCAGGTATGCGGAGACCGCTTGAGTAAGGAAATCTGCAGTCAGGTCATGTCAGACCCTCTCAGTATAGTCCCCTAAAGTAGATAGAATATGGCTTTGGGCATATTATAGTAAGATCCCCATATATCCCATATTCTATCTACTTAAGGGGGACTATAACCCCGTCATGACTTTTTCTATAACGCTCTACCTTGGCATGTCTTCCCTAAGTCCAAAAAAGTGGATCATAACGAAGCCCCGCCAAGCCCTAAGTACCTAGTAGAAACCATAGGAGCCCAACTTGCAAACTATTAGCCGCTAGTGGGACCCTTGGGGCGGGGCTCCTTCAAAGGGGCTCTCGCCACCCTACACCCTAAACCCCAAATCCGAAACCTTAACCTTAGGGATATGCACCACGTTGCCTCGAGATACTGGATGACACACTTTCACCATGACAGGCGCCTGTCCAGTTGATCGCAGCTTAGAGCCCTGGGCGGATAACATAATGAGTTTGGGTTTAACGGTTTAGAGTCTAGGGATTCCCTGTAGAGAACCCCGACTTTCCTTTTCTCCGGAATGTGTGGATCCTAGGAATGCATTGGAAAATCGGAGCTGTGAATCTGTAGAGTGAGGTAGGGTGTCTTGGAAATAAAGTTCCAAGTGGATATCTCTACAGCCCCACTGAGTAGGACAGTTTGGACCCTAAACCCAAACCCTCAACGGTAGCTTCCATTTTCTGTTCCACTATCCCTATATAACCCCTATTATAAACCCGAATAATCCCTATATTCCCCCAATAATCCCTATATAAACGCTACAAATTCAGGGATGCAAGCTGGAATTGAGCTGGAGGTTCCTAAAAATGGGAGTCTCCCTTATACACCCCCCCTTTAGGGCTTAGGTGTTAGGGTTTAGGGCTAAGGGCTCCAAATACTATAATCTTGAAATAAGGAACCCCCCAAAAGGGGAAGCCCCTGCTTGAGAATCACCTTAGCTACTCTGACTAGTACCTATCTCATCATGTTCACGTCGACTACGATACCCTGCATCAAACATGGGAGTTTCTCATAAACAAGGGGAGCCCTAGGGACCCAAGGGCTGCGTAGGGATTATGAGGGGAATGTGTGGGGTCTCTATAAGAGGTTATACAGGGACTGTTTTGAAAAATGACCACAATCTGAACCAGCTCAAAATCCAATATTCAAAAGGTGGGGTCTGACTTCATGCGCCTCAATGCTCGATTTGAACTGCTTGTGTTGTTCCAGCATACTCACATGCTGAAGGATTGAAACGTCAACTTCGTGAGCTTCCCGAGGTTGGCTTGATTTTGTAGCTCACATGCTGCCTTTCCTGCTGATGCGCCCGCATCATGTCATGGACATTTCCCAGCAGAGTGGTCCCCCTCATACATCTCACTAAGCCGTACACCTAAATGCAGGAATCCCCAAACAGGCTCTCTTGATTCTTGACACCCTCCGTTCGGCCCTCGTAGCACACATCCTTCTGGCCTTGCACGCAATAGAAAACTGGAAAGTGCACGAGTGGAACCTTGGCGTCCACGTCACAGATGGTGGGTTCAAAGCTCGACTTCACAAGATTTATGCGGAGCAAGCAGCATGTGCCCAATTCTGTAGGTCCCCGTCTGCAAGTATCCCCGCGACGAGATGAACCCCCCACTGCTCCAAAACTGTCATTCATTCCAGGATGAAGCTAGGCCCACGTCTAGGAATCTCCACAAACGGCACATGATGTTCAAAACCCAGAACTATTCGCAATCAACACCAGTACCATGCGCACAGCTTGCATGCAGTGGACACTCCAAACCCTAAATCTCAGCAACGTAACACGTCATCTTCCAAGGTGGCCCAAAGTTTTACCTGCGTAACCTGCATCCAAGTTGCATACACGGCCAGATCGAAAACAATCTGCTGACCGAGCTGCCACAGCCCCGGCCAATCCTGCTAAAAGCAAGGCACTGAGAACAAGTGGGTTGCTGTTTAGGAACCTAGACTAAGTTACCATACTATGTGCATACAGTAACAAAAGGGTTTCCTTCTCATAGTAACTTAATGCAAGTTCTTTGCAGCAACCCAGCAGGAGGAGCACCAACTATGTGATTGCGATGAGCTTTCTTCAGATGCTCCTATATGTCTGGATTCTACCAGACGGGCATGATGAGGCATACTGCACGTGGTTTGGGGTTTAGGCCAGAAAGATTTATCCCCCTAAGTACCGTATAACACTCCCCTTATGACCCTATCCTGCGTATTGATGCATGCCAAAACGCCAACCCACCTCTGAACCCTCGACCCTATTCTAACTAGCTACTGGTTTGCTGTTAAAGAACTTAAGTCGAGTTACTGCAATAAGGAGTTCCAATATTTATTATCTACCCAGAACATGGTAATTTAGAATGAGCTCCTTAACAGCAACCCATTTCAAGAAACTTGCCACTTAAGACCCCCAAACACTATAATCCTGATGAACAGGACCCCTCCCTAATTTTGGGAAGCCCACATTCAGGCTCCCGGCATGCGAGACGAAGGCCCTAAACCCTGAACCCCTAAACTCTAAAAACTGAGCCCTAACCTTAAGCCCCTAAACCCCTAGCCCCTAAACCCCTAAACCCAAAACCCCTAAACCCAAAACCCCTGAACCCTAAACCTTAAACCCCTAAACCCCTAACCCCTGAACCCCTTAACCCAAAACCCCTAACCCCTAAACCCGTCCTTGAGTTTCTCCTTAAGGGGCAGGTTGACAAGCCGGGTCGCCTTGCTCCGCTTGGGGGATTATCAGCACAGGAGGTCCTTAAGAGGACTCCTAGGGATTATGGGACCCTAAACCCCAGAGTATGACATGAAATTCCATTTTAAAAGGGGGGTCAACCTCACGCATCTCATAATGGGAATGTGAAGTGGGATGGGCTTTCTATTTCAGGAACCCGTAGGAGCAATTTCGGGAAACTTTGACATGCAGGGCCAAGGTCAAGCAGTGCTTTGCGCTCCTATTTGTTTATCCTCCCCTCCTTGGCTCCTTTCGATGGCAACCTTGAATGAACGGTTTACTATTCAGGTTTCTTCCGCGCCCACCTGTAGAAGCGCCAGAGCAAAAACAGCTTTGGAAATGAGGTCCAATGAATAAAGACGCGGCTTTGATGAGACCTGCTTATGCGGCTCTGCTTTGGTTTACTTCAAACAGCCCGAATCAATTCCGCCCTTTCCCCTCATAGGGACCCCAACGTCTTGCTCTCCATTGGTGCCGCGGTGCGAGCGGAAAGCATCTGGTGAACAGGCTCACATATACGAGCCAAGATGTCACGCCTTGGACCACCCCCAGGAGGAAGAAGCCTCGTCAGGCAAGGTCAAACTGGACATGCTAGTCATTACCACTTTAGTGTACCTGGGTGCGCGGAAACGCATGTCCGTTGCCGCCCGTCTAGGAAGCACCAAACGTGCTACAGGCACCTTGTAAGCGGCGTTTGTCGATTGGCGCATCCTGCTGCTTCTGCACGAACAGGTCGGATGCCGGTGTCAATGTTGCAGAGACCCTTAGCATCTTCTGCTGGAAAACGAAAGCACCCTAACTATTCCCTAATTCCTATGTAATGTTTGTGCTACTTGCCCGGGCATGAGTTCGTCGTGCGAGGACCTTATGAATAGACGTGTTGTTGCAGCTGGTGCAGCCGCTGCGCCACGCCTGCTCCTACTCCTCCTCCTCTTCCTGCTCCTACCGCGACTTCTCCTACCCCCGGTCCTACCCCGCGCCCCTACTTACCTTTTTCTGCTGCAGGCTTGCCTAGGTTCACGGCTAAATAAAGTCACTACTTCTCCTGCTGCTGCTACTACAGTTGCGATGGCGAATGCATGTCTATGTCCTGCCACTAGCCATGACGAAATCTGTTGTCGCTGCTTGAGGTGCTGATATGATGGCCGGATTCCAGTTGCTGTGATGAGGGGCTTTCTCAGATGGAATGGGTCTGCACTCTGACTGCAAAGGGTGGCTTTGTGAAACGACCAACAGGCTGAAGTTGCTTCAGCTGCTTGGATAGCAACAATTTTTCTCGATGAAATGAGTGTGTGCGCAAGCTGTGCTCTCCCAGAAGACCTTTCAACTCAAAGCCGGCTTAAGACTTGCACGAGCGCCTGATCACTTGCCCGTGTTTGTACAAAACGAAAGCTTGTCATACATGTATTCTCACAACGGGAGGCGAGTTTTATCTCTCTGAAAGCCAGACCCTGCACGAGCATTGTTCCTCATCGCAGACCACCGAGTGGTTCGACTAGTCTCAGCCTGCCCCTCCTAGGGCCAAACACATGGCCAGGCGTGGTGCTCACTGGCTCACATGTCAGTCAACTTGTGGAGCCAGCAAGTGGTCCCGCTAGCATTTGAAGGAGCCAGCCGCAAGTCAAGTGCGGTAACGCAATCTAACATAGATACCCATCTAGACCCTGCTTAAAAGGACTGTAGTCTCGGGAGTAATTACCATTTTGGGGCTCTACCGAGTTCCGAGCCGGATAGGGGCCTCTCGGGCTGAAATCTGAAAAGGTGTGAGATATGAAAGTTTCAGAGCAATCCAGTAGTAAATCCCATCATAAAACCCACGAAAAAGCCCGCAAACCTAAACCCTGAATCCTAAACTCTAAACACGAAAGTCCCTAAAGCCCAAAGAAGGCAAAAATCATTTGCAGCGGCCCCTCCTCAGACCTTTGAGTTTTCAAAGGCGCTCACTGCAAACTCCTTCTTGAGCTCTTCGAACTCCTCTTCTACTTTTGCTATACTTGCAGAAGGAATAATAGCCATACAAGAAATGAAGCATAAGTACCAATAGATATGATCCCGCAATCCTACACATAACAACAACAATGTTCATTGCAACATTGAAAGTAATGATACTAGGAACAACGAGAACATGGGAGCCATAGTCTAAACTCCTTAAAGGGAGCGGGACTCTATATACGGGACTACTATAGGAGATATTGGGGGGTGATACTAGGAGTTGAGAGCCTAAACCCTGTACTAGACTAGGGGCTACTAAGGGAGATACGAGGACCCTAAACCCTTCACCCTAAACCCCCTAAACCCTAAACCCCCTAAGCCCCAAACCCTAAATCCTAAACCCCAAACCCTAAGCCGGAGTTGGTTACTTCATTCCGTGCACTCCATCAGACTGCTGACGACGTTCGCCTGCAGGGAAGCGAGGAGATCATGGAGACCCTTCGCTCAGCCAAGGCTTAGGGTTTAGGGTTTCAGGCTTGGGCTTAGGGTTTAGGGCTTAGGGTTTAGGGCTTAGGTCTTAGGATTTAGGGTTTAGGCTGTAGGGTTTGGGTTGCAACTGCGGCTTCCCTAGCTAGCAATCATTCCACCCAGAACCCACAACCTTGTTCTTGCCCTGCCTGGAGACTGTGCCCTCCTAAAAGAGGCGACATGACCGTTCCATGTTAGTTTGGGGAGGGTAAGCATCCTCAACCTAAACTCCAAGGGGAATCTAGAATCATTTCGATTCCCAATCTAAGGCCATGTTGGTACACTTCCCTATAGAAATCACCATTTAGGGTGAGGTCGAGTGAGGTCGCCTTACCTTTTGGCCCCATAGCCTGTTCCCCCCACACATTGGCTCCGCTCTTGGAGGCGCGCTTGCTGCCCGACCAAGGCGCCCTGAGAGCTTTTCAGGGACATGGGCTTCGAGTTTAGGATTCAGAGAGCCCAATAGTTTATGGGTAAGGCTCTGGGGACATTACCCTCATAAAGACAAATAGTTTATGGGGTTAGGCTTTGGGGACATCACCCTCCTAGTGGAGAATCAAATTTGTAAAAGACAATGGAAGGTGACGTGGTAGTTGGGGTTAAATGGGGTGAAACAAGGACTTCAGGACCTTACGTTAAAATGACCATTTTTTATTGAAGACCTATACTGTCGTAACTTGCATTTAAGTTGCTTGAGCAGTTTAGGGTTTGGTTCGACATTTAGAGTGTAGGATTCAAGGCTCCTCATATTAGGAGCAGCCTTGGTGATCCCATGCGGTTTAGGGTTGAGGGGTTTAGGTTTTTCGAAGCATGGGTGTGGGGAATAGCAGGGGGGAAGCAGTACTGCGTGCGGCGGATTCTGTAGGGCTACTTCCACAATATGTTTTGATACTCCGACATTGAGTGGATCATAGGTAAACTGTTTGGCGGGATCTTCAAAGTGGGTAAAAATGTATATACAGCTGTACATATGACATGCAGAGATTCCGAAAATATGGAACCTTTGTTGGGTTTCTTCCAGTGCCGAACGTCTCCCATCGTGTGGTACATAACGGGACATTAAACTTGACAAAGCTCCAGATACGGATGAACAAAAAGAAGTGGCACCACTTACCTGGGAGTCTTGGGTGAATAAAGTGCTTCTTCCACAAACAAACAAAACTAATTACTAGCAAACTTGCGAGCATAAGAACGCTCTGAACGGGCCTGATTTTCCAGAAGTGCTGCCACTCCCTTGCCCTCTGAATGAAAGCCATTCATAGTCAGAATCTAACCCAGAAACAATCCTTGATAATCCCCACAGTAACTCCTGCTGTATACATCGAACCAACCCCTGAAAGAATCCTGAATAATATTACAGTTTCTATCGTCTTTTCCATTAACCCACATAACAATCCCTACAACCCTATGCAGCTTTTTACTATCCCTATATAAACCCTACACGCTAAATTCCAAATCTGCCCAGGCTCCTTCCACCGGGTTCTCGACCAGTGGCATCAGGAGGAAGTTGTCAGAGGCAAAGCGACGATGCAAGCTGATCTTGGAAGTTGAGAACCTTCCAGGTGCATAATAATTTCCAGAAATAGGGTGACCCCAATATAGACCCCAACATACTTCAGACCTTTACATACGAATCACCAAAAATACACCTAGTTTTGGGAACCCCTAAACCATAAAAATCCTTTATAGATCCTTATATACCCCCATATAACCCCTATATTCCCCTTTAAAGAATCACGAAACAGAACCCCCCCCCCAATTTCCGGAAATCCCACGCCTGCCAGCCGCGTAGCGGCCCCCGAAGCACAGGGCGCTCCGTTGGATGTCGCCCAGGAGCAGGAGGTCGGCGGAGGACATGGAGGAGCTACTTCTTTCCTGTAGTTCAAGGGTTGTTAGGAGGGACCCCTAGAAGGGACCCCTAATCCCAATGCCTGATATAACCCTTATGTAGTCACTATATAACCCTGAGGAGCTACTTCTTTCCTGTAGTCCCCTTAGACCTGAACTAAAAATCTGTTTAGTAACTCCGTAGTGTTTTACTAGAATCAAAAAGGAAAGGAATTCCTAAGGAGACTACAGTTTCTAGAAGGCCAGAGGTTATGACAGCCGAGTGCATGTGTGATGATGGCGTCATGTTGCTTGGTGCAGTAGGCCTTGCGGGCGGCTCCGTTGTGACGGCATCTTTCGCTGCCTCTAAGTCTGGGAGTTCTGGGACAACTGATTCTGGTGATGACACTTCATCACGAAAGTTGGCTGTTGTTGCTACACTTGTAGCCACCATGCCCAGCATGACGAGAAGGAAGCCGCTACTGAAGGAGACTTGCTGTCTCATTCCAAACTGGCTGAACTCGTCGAAGAAGATGCCACATAGTAGTACCTGCATCAGCGCTCCGCTCCCCAGGAACAAGGGCAGGCTCTTCAGGGCCTTCCGATAGTAAGCGGCTGCAACCTGGCAGAAAAACACGCCCACATGCAAGGTCACAGTCAGCGTCACGAAGCAGCTGACAATCCTCTCGGCAGGCGTGTCCTCCTCCTTACCAACCTGCTTTTTAGGGTTTGGGGTTTAGGGCTTTAGGGTTTGAGGATTTGTTTCACAGCTTGTCATATCGTTGGCACAACTTTGTACCAGGTGAAATGCTTACTCAATAACGGTACCGTGACAACCACTAGCCGCAGCAACTGTAGTGTGAACTTCGTGACCAGCAGGTCGATGGCGCCAATTAGCCTGGGTTGCTGTTAAGGAACTTGAATTAAGTTATCACAATGGGTATATAACATATGTATATATATACATATACATGTAGAGGATGCTTAATATGGTCTCCCCAGCATCGTAACTTAAACTAAGTTCCTCAACAGCAACCCAGTAGCGCAAAAATATAAGCAAAGCTGAGCAGTTCCAGTGCGCGCTTTCGAAGCGCACGGCAAAGGCAAAGGACGGTTAGGACGGAGATAATAGAAGCCTCTCTTCCCCAATAACCAAGGCTAAACAAGTTTGAACTTTATTACAAAGACTCAAAAAGGAAGCCCAAAAAGGTCAAAGCGCTGCGTTGTCTGTAGGTCATCCCCGGCGTGGTTGCGTGGGATGATCTATACCAAAAAGGTTAAAGTTCTTCTATTGGCTAAGTAAGAAGCGCAGGTTAGAAATGTGGGTCGGTGAGCTAGCTGGCAGAGTTGAAGGTAGGAGTACCTGAGCCCCAAAGGTAGGTAAAATACTAGCCCCAATATAGGCGTTGATATACTATAAAGGTTTAGAGTTTAGGGGTTTAGGGTTATATACCTAGGCCCCAAAAGTAGGTAAAATAATAGCCTCAAACCTCTAGAAATGTCACAAAAGGCCATTATTCTACATACTTTTGGGGTTCCGGCACTTCTGGTCTGCATGGCTTGAGGAGGAAGTCACCATCCCACTGCCCACCACCAGCAGTACCACACTCAGCCAGTGCAGCCTGGTGAGCTTTTCATTTAGAACAAGTGGCGCCAGCAACGCATTGCCTTGGTTGCTGATATCAAACTTAATTGAAGTCTGTATATTGTGGAAACCCTATCAATTACAACATATACCACTTATGGGAACTTAAGCGAAGTTCTTAAACCCTAGACCTTAGACAGCAACCCAGTTGCTCAAAAGTGAGCCGCTGAAGTTCACCGACGCTGTCAGGGATGCAGGTGCCAAGAGAATCGCCACTTGCCCTAATCCTAGGCCGCTTTGGGACTTGTGGCTGGAGGTTTAAGGTTTAGTTGGGGGGCTACACAAAATTCGTCATGCCAACTCTGATGAAGATGTGAATGGATCACTTTGGACAGCCTTTGGGCTCGCTAGCACATCGCTCCAAGCCCCAAACTCTTAAGCTCAAAATCCTAAAGCCTAGACACTGAATTCAAAATCCCAGACCTTCAAGACCCTACAATTTAACGCTGACCCAGACACCCTGCCCTGCCAACCAGAAGGTCCACCCGCAAGCTTGTAGTAGCCGAGCTGTTCCCGCAACGTCTTGCGCAAGGGAACCTGATTCAGTTAAGCATTGAGGGTCTAGATTTATGTAGGCTTTATGATTTACACAGCTCAGGGCTTAAGAGCTTAAGCCTAAACTCTAATAGGACTTCGGGCTTCGGGGTTGAGGCATAGGGAGCTTCCGAGTTTAAGGGGCTTGAAGCTATCGGAACCATCTGATCTCGCCTTCAAACCCGGCAAGAACAAGAACTCTGCTTTTAAAACTAGCATGATATACCATATTATACCAATATATACTATATTCGACTACAATCTACATATATATATATATAGTGTAGATACAATACTATAATATACTAGTTTTTTAGATCAATGCCCGGCAACTGATCCGTAGCTGAGTTCCCAAGGTCCCGCTGAAAGACCCCAGGAAGGAGGCAGCCACCCCACTCTGCCAACTCATTTGCCAGCAGGACTACGCCAAGGAGTCCATGGCAGGATGAGCCAGAATGATCCTAAACCCTGAATTTTGGAATCTAAACCCTGAATTTTGGAATCTAAACCATGAATTCTGGAATCTAAGTCCTGATTTTTGGAATCTTACTAGAACTTCTGCCAGCCTTTGTGAGGTAGCTTTGGAAAGGCATTTCCCGAAATCTCTCGCACCAGGTATGCGGATAAAAAAATGTGTTTCGGCTGTTCCTGTTGTGTGTCTAAAGGCTTTATGTTCTGTCCAACTTGCTACTGGCCTTGAACCAGGGGGCATTCAAATCCTAAGCCAGTCTACAGTGGATCAACACATTTCTTCCAAATCTACTGCGCTGTCTCTATGCCCACTCTAGCCGATCATTAATCCTGTGAATGCTTCCCGCTACTGAAGGCTCACTCACAGCTTCACACCTCAGCTTGCTATTGCCAAGACTGCCTGAACGTTCTGGCGGGTCCCTTGTGGAGGGCCTTTGCATGTGGGCTTTACTACTTTGGCATATGCAGCAGGAGACATTATCTTCATTTCTGTCATCATGAGGATGACTTGTCCTAGTGGTAGCGTGAGCATGACCAACGTAATTTGAACTCTTATTGCAGCTTTTACGTTCATTGCGACTACATGGCTTTTGACATGGCCATGCTTGATGCCAGTGGTGACGGTGATTCTTGCTTTGTTTCAACACTTACTACACTTCCACCGCAACCACCTCCGCAGCCGCCACCACCACTGCCGCACTACCGCCAGAATGACTCCTGCTACTTCTGCTACGACGACGAGTATTCATCCTTTTCGATTTCTCATCAATTAAGAAGCATCAGCCTCAGTGTAACCCGTTCCCCCACACCAAGGTGGGCCTCTGAGTCCAAACAGGGGTTTCTCAAATCGGGACCACAAGGACATATGGATCGTATGGGATTTCGAAAGAAACCGGAGCGGCTCGTTAAGGGTCAACTTAAGCAGCTTTTAGAAACTCCCGCATGCAGTCCAAGCGCAACATGTTCGTAGCAAACATGTGCCGCTTGGGAAAGCTGACGATGCGGTTCCAGGCTCCAGCACCTGCCGATGACATTGCGAACCTTAACCTACATGGCTCGCGGTAGAGGGTTCCATACGCAGGTTTTCGGGATAACTGTGAGTCTCCCACTTTTGGCCAGGACTCCCAGGATATCAGAAGGTAGTTACGCTGAAAGCCTGAAATGACGCCGTTTGGGAATGTAGTCCATGTAGATCACCATGCTCGGTGCCCAAGGTTGCTATGACTGCTATGACTTGGCAAGTATCCCATGCGCGAGCCTCCTGGCAGCATGGTGGATGTTCTCCAGCATTCTGCTGCCATGTGTGCGCACCTGGACGTGAAGTTCTACCCTCACCCCCTCTAGTAGCCCTAAGCAGCAAGAACAAAGCAAATTTGGTGGCTCCAACTAACGGTCATCGCCATTCTGGGCGATTGGCTGGCGTCCATGCACGACCGATCGCCGAAGCCATAGGAGCACGTTGTGCTGCAGCATGGCTCTTCCGCAAAATACAAGCCGACGCTAATCGTTGTGCTGCGCCGGCACTTTTTATGTGCCTGCCGACCCCCGTCAAGCATGCTGATTCACTGCATGGCGGTCATTGCTAGCATTGCCAGCATTACAATGGCTCTTGGTCCATGAGTGTACTCAGTATTGCTTCGTTTTGCATCTGGCTTCCAACCCCAAGAAATGTTACGTCTCATGTGCTTCATAACTGGCTGCATCGATGACCTCATGAAAAACTGCGCTGCAAGTGTAGACCTCGCGCTATCAACTCTCCAAGACGCCCTGTGGGATTCACTTAGGGTCTCACAGCTCAACTTGCTAGTTCCTAGTAGGGGCTGAGGGAAATTACTCCTTACATACTATATTCCCATATTCCCTGCTAAGAACCAGTAAATCAGACGTGCGAAAGTCATCCTAACCAGTGGACTTATGCACGGGCTAGACACTGGACATGGTAGTTTCGGGGGACCCCAATATAATCCTTACATATCCTTACTATAGGGACCCGCCCCCCCCCCAAAGAGGTACTTCCCCAAACGTTGGGAACCTAAACCCTAAACCCTTTTGAAGGAGGACTCTGTGACGTGCCTCCTTCAGAGCCCTAAACCCTAAGCCCTAATTTGTTCTTGTCCATTTCATTCTCCATTATTGGAATTATGTATCCCTATATAACCCCATATCCTAACCCTAAGTCCTGAGCTAAACTCCTAGTATCCCCCTTAATAACCCCCATGGCAATCCCCTATATAATCCCCTATATAACCCCCCTTTAAGGAGTTTAGACTATGGCTCATATAATCCTCTATATAACTTTTCAGAGGGATCAACCTTTGTGGCCCAAGCCTGATCTTCACCCTTCACCGGCAAGGCCTGGGCAAAAGAGTTTTGGGTTCCAGGGCTCTTCAGGGTCTAGGGTTTTTGGGCGTTTTAGCTTTTAGGGTGTAGGGCTTTAGCGTTCAGGCCCTTGAGGGTCTGGGGTTTTCGGTTTAGGGTTTTGGGTTCCAGGGCTCTTCAGGGTCTAGGGCTTAGGCGGTTAAGGCTCTTCAGGGTCTGGGGTTGTTGGGCGGTTTTTCTTTAACCACTCGGACTTTTACGCCTTTTTTGGGCGGTTTAGGGTTTATAGGGCTTTGGGTTCCAGGGCTCTTCATGGTCTAATTAGGGCTTAGGCGGTTCAGGCTCTTCAGGGTCTAGGGTTTTTGGGCGGTTTAGGGTTTAGGGTTTTGGGTTCCAGGGCTCTTCAGGGTCTAGGCAAGTCATAGCAGAGGATTCAGATGGGACATACGGTATACAGGTTGTCAAAATATGTTCTCCTTTTGGTCCTCAATATGTAGGGCCTATAGGGTGCGCAAAAACGTCACCAACATTTCTACCAACCCGGCATTTATGGGTTTTGGGGTTTGGGTCTAGGCTTTGAAATAGCGTCTCTTAGGGTCTAGGCTTCGTATGGAAGGCTTTGCGCGGAACGAATGCGCATGTCGCACAGCAGCGTGCGACAACCACAGTGCGGGGCTTAGGTTTCCTGAAGGCTTCTTGTGGGGTTTATAGGGTTTAGGGTGGGTCTTTTCCTGTGGCCTACTTGAATGGGATTTCCGAATTTTCAGGCATAGGCAACTCGGCCATATGAAGAGCGCTTCTTTTTAGTGTCTATCACCGTGAAAAGGTCCAGCAAATCATGTTGCACAAGCCGGAAGCTGTAGGTCTGCGCATTGCCTTGACCAAAGCTTCCTCGTGCTATATTGCGAGCAGCTCACATATGTACTTTTGGATGCAGGGTCCTTTGCATTGCGTGGGGAGCCAAGTGCAGCCCTGTTTTGAGATTGAGAACTTATCTCTCAAATCTCCACAAAGCTTCTTGATTTTCCAACTTCTGCAAGGCTGGGTAGTGAGGTCAAGGACTCCGAACCATGCAAAAGACGTGCCCGAAAAGCTACGTTTCCTGGCTTTTTTTTGGGTGATCGTCTCTAACTCCTCCATCCTTAGCTCACTATGTCACCAACCCTAAACTCTAGATGGGGGTTTCCCCAAACTTAGGGCTACTGTTTTCGGGGTCTGTATAATAGGGACTACAGTACATTGGGGTCTATATTGGGGTCCCCCCAATTTTGGGAAACTACCAGATGGATAACCGCGAGCAAGATTCCGAAGCAGCTTTCTCGGTCTTGCTTCGGAGCCAATGCCAAGCTTGCACAAACCATTGGTGCCATGTCGGCACGGCTTCCTTCCTGCCATGCAGGATTGGCAATCACTTGTAGAATGCTTCCGCGGGTGCAGTTGATAGAAAAGCTTACATCATGGTCACCATCATGCTATTGCGAATCACCATTCCTTCAGCATCTACAGCAGCAGCCGCAGCAGCAGCGGCAGCAGTGCCACCCCTGCTACCACTACAATGTCCCGGAGAGTTGTATTGGCTTCCTCCAGGCTTGCAAAGATTTGGTGCGATGGTCACTGAGCATGACCAAAACCCAAAGACGCTCTGTCGCCGTCAAGCCTTACACGCAAGAGCCCCCGCAGTGCGGCCTGAGAGAGCGGAAGTCGTAGGCGCTGTAGAGCACCGGGCATGCCCTCGCAGCGGATCAAGAAATATAGGCTCGTATTTTTGCAACAGCGCAACTCTCGCAAAACTTGGGACTGGTGCTGCGCAACGCATGGTTGTCTGCGCATGGCACAGACTGTAGAGGGACTTTGTTGGGAACCCCAAACAGGGAACCCCAAAAATACAATAGGAATACAATTGAATATAAGGACCCTGGTAGGTATGTTCCTATGATATTCCTACTACATTCTTGGGGTTCCCTGTTTGGGGTTCCCAATAAAGTCCCTTTACACTCGTCATTCTGAGTGCCCGTCTCTGCAGATGGTGTGAATCTCGCAACCAGCTCATCCCACCTGTTTGTAAGAGGCAGAGGACTAGCTGTGAAGAGCTATAGGTTTAGGGTTTGGGGATTATAGTTTAGGGGGTTTAGGGATTAGGGTTTAGGGGTCCCCCTTAAGTAGCTAGAATATGGCTTTGGATATATTATGATAAGATCCCCATAGACCCCACATCCTATCTACTTAAGGGGGCCTATAAAACCAAGATATATATACAATTATAATATAGTAGTTTCCATTAGGGATAACTCTAATAATATACCCCCAAGACCTACTAGCGTATAATATACCCAAACCCCTATTCTATCTACCTAAGGGGGACTATAATGCGAGGCAGACCGTGCGATGCTGCTACGTGCATTCGAGGCGCTTGTGAAGGGGGCAGAGTTTGCCCTCGCCTCTGCAAACCTTGGTCTCAAACTGCTATCGACCTTTTGCTAATGTTGGGAAAACGGAAAATATAATGGAAACTACTATATTACAGGACTATATAGGGGCTTTTATGTTGGGGTATGATATAGGGGATAGATAAAATGGCAAAATGGAAAATAACATGGAAACTACTATTTAGGGTTTGGG